CACACACAAACACCCACCCACACACACCTTGACCTTTGACGTCCATCGCTGCTAGCGATGCTGCAACAGAAGCCATAGCAACTTGTGCTGGCACCATTCAACAGCGTGCAAGGTTGAACAAGCACGCACATGCGGGAACACACACACACCCGAACGCACACACGAATACACACATGCGCACCCCTCCCCCCCCCCCCCCACACAAACACACGCACGCACACACACACACACACACAACCTCCCTGTGTTTGGTGATCATCATCCTAATTTGTGTACATTTTATATGTACAAGCATACTCAATCTGCGGACAGAACTGTTTCGTCCTTTGTGGACTCGTCAGCGCAGCACAGAGGAAATGAGGCCGAACCTGATAGCAATGGAAATAAAAATTTCCAATCAGGCCCGAACGTACCAAGCATACATGTATACATGTACAATGTACATGTACTTTGAAGTACACTGTACATGTACATGTATACAATCATGATTGTGCATGTACATGTACCTCTGGACTCATGTGTAGAATACTGTAATTTCACAAATTCTCGGTGAACTTTTATTTTCGGTACTTTCGTTGCGTCTGTTTCATACCTAAAATTTCAATACACCGAACAAACACTAACACACATAATACAATAGGGAACTGTTTCTCTGTACCGAAAAATTCTGTTCACCTAACCTAGCCTGTTGCCCTCATACCGAGAATATTGAGCACCGAAAATTTCTGAAATTAAAGTACTCTCTTGCTTACCACTTCCCGCTTTTTCAGTTCTCTTGTACATCCTGCTGGCGAGCAGTTAGGCTGTCTCGCCGCTCCTATTAAAAACCCAGTTAGGTTGTTGGCACTCACTGTTGTGAAAGCGAAAAGCACATCATCTGCGTCATCAGTGTTTTTTAAGATATTCCACTGTGCAACAATCAGAGACAACTCTCTACAATTATCTACGTATCCACACTGCTCTCAGTGTCACTGCCCTCTTTGTACCAGTGCTGTGAAACCCTTCTTATATTCTGTCCCATTCTCTATTGTGGATAAATGAAGGGACAACATGTTACGAGTTATGACTAACTATCCACCAACGTAACCAGATCATACATGTATACCCGGTATTGATACAGTCAGTAAGTTCGACAAAATCAAAATGGCACAAACTGACAAAGGCCAACTGAGACATTCGACGACCTGACACCTAGCTCCAACACTTCTACCAGGCGCAAACGAACAACCTTCCAGCTTGGAAGGCTCATGCAGGTTAGTAAAGGATTTGGACGGATTGGACACACAGGTCTTACTACAACTCGACGACGATTGTGCACTCATAACCATGTATAAAACAATTAATATGAAACAATTCCAGAACGTTTTCTCGCGTGGAACTTAACTAGCCCATCATATTACATCACGGAGACCCTCTCGACTTAGGCCTCGGCCTTTGGGGAATCCATACATAAATACATGAATAAACATCATAGTGGAGTTCGGTAGGATGTTGGCGTTTCGGCTTGTCACAATTCGTCTTCGCTTAGCTTCCCCTTTCTATATGTTGGACTCAGTAGAGCGTCCAGCCCCTATATGATGTCC